TTTTGGAGCGTATGTCAGCCTTTGGGCCTCCTGGAGATAGATCTCTTTGCAACACTGTCCAATGTGATGCTCCATTGCTTGTACTTAAGGAGAGGTTATGGCCACAAATCTACTTGTTGTTTCCAAATCTACTTTGCCCCTTTCTCTGCAGGTGCATCTTTGCTGTCCGCTCACGGCGGCTCTCCTGACACGGATATCAGGCACCATGACCCACCCCAATATATCTTCACCACACCTCAAGGTTTGACTCCTCAATAGTTCTCGGATGTAGATCTGGACTCTTTTCCTGAAGTTAAGACTATTCCTGAGCAGTGGAAAACCTCCCTGCAAAAGTGGAAGCGTTTCCAAGCCTGGTGTGCCCATTGATCTATATCTCCTCACAGACATAATCAACGGCTTGATTAATTACAGAACACCAAGGTTTGTTACTCAGTTCCATTAGGGGCCTCTTAGCTGCAGTTAGTCTTTCACCCACCTGATGAAGGTTTTTCTGTTTTTGCTTATCCTAGCATAGCCTGGATTTTTAAATGTTTGTCTAACCTCTTCCTTCATGTCAAGGAGCTAACTCCACCTTGGAACCTTTTCCTAGTTCTGAACGCCTTGAGTTATTCTCCATATGAACCCATGGGCAGCTGTTCATTTCTTCATTCATCTTTCAAGACTTCATAACCATAACTTCGACCAGGCGAGTAGGAGAGCGAGGGGTACTCCTGGCTGTGACCTACTCTTAGACAACTTTCTACCATGACAAAATGACCTTACATCCCCATCCTCGCTTCCTACCTCAGGTCTTATCAGAATTCCACATCAGTCAGGGCGTTCGACACCCAGTATTTTACCCCAAGGCTTACTCTGAGAGAGAAAAGGCTAGTCTTCATACTCTGGAAGTGAGAGGGGCTCCTGCTGTCTACCTTGATAGAATAAGTCCCTCCAGGGCCTCTCCCAGACTCTTTATCTCCTTTTCTGAAAGGGTGAAGGGGCAACCAATTTCTACTCAGAGACTTGAAACTCACTTTGACAGATGCATCTTAGCTTATTACGAAGCGTCTGGAGCACAGCCCCCACTTCGAGTGACTCTGCCTCTGCTAGGGCTCAGGCAACCTCAATAGTGCCCATAGGCACAAAACATTTTGAAGAACTCCAGGTACCCTACAGGTAAGTAATCTCTCCTTCAGTCCCCAGCTCTGCCACAGATTTCACGTGTGGCCTTGGGCAAGTCATTTAACCTCCGTTTCTCTCTTCCCCGCCCACCCCCCTCAATCTGTAGAAAGCAGATGATATTTCCTGCTTCACATGAACATTCTGGAGATTAATTCATTTGTGTTCAGAAATCGCACTCTGGTGATGGGGACCATAGAAATAGGTCAGTGGTGAAGAGCAGAAAACCTACCCTCAAAATAGAGCTTTGGGAGCCTATACAATGACTACTTTCCTGAGATTTCAGGGAATAAGTTCAGAAAAATGGATGCCCTAATAATACAGCAAAATTTATTATTTTGTATCTACTTGTGTGTGACCTTGGCAGGAGCTGTTTTATAAATAAGGTTATTTACACGGGAGCATTTTTATATACCTTAGATTCATATAGCACCTTTCATCAAACACAGAGCGTTCCAAAGTTCTTTATAACATGTAGCGAGCATCACTGAAATGTGATTCCTCCGTATAGTTATACAAGCATGTGTAACTTCAGCCACCACCGAAATGCTACCATCTCTGAGTTGGAATGTGGCAGCTATTCAACAGTATAAAGCAAACAATGTTACATAAGAGAGGACAGGAAATGAATATTGTATCCAATTGAAACTGTACAAACTCATGGAGGTGGACTGTAATTATCCTAGCTGGAATTTGACTTAGGGGGACTGGGGTTTATACCTCTTGCATTTTTATGTTTATTTCTATGATATCCTAAATGACTCAAAGGAGCTTTTGCTTTTCATCCTAAAGAGGGTGTCTCCTACATTATAGTACCGTCTAGCCCTGTATATTTTTTTATTAATCCACAAACAAGTGTGTGTCAGTCTGAATCATTGAGATTAATATTGACTTGAAGTAGAGCACACCACTGAATCATGACCAGCACATCCTTCAGCACAATAGCTTTACCTTGGAAATCTCCCATTCAGTGTACTGACTGCTTGACCCTGTTTAACTTGTTAGGCATGACCGAAACACAACAGCAAGTTCCTTCCTCTTTCTAGGATGGGAAGGCCAAAATAATTGTTGGGTGTTAAATAGTGTGATTTCTAAGGCAGCTTTCTTCTCCTTGCTTCTGTCTTACTCTACAACATGATAAATTCTAATAACTACTTATCTTCATTAAAATGTAAGGATGTGTGGTACAAGACAAAAGGATTTGAACATAAGAACGGCCATACTGGGTCAGACCAAAGGTCCATCAAGCCCAGTATCCTATCCTGTCCTCTGACAGTGGCCAATGGCAGGTGCTCCAAAGGGAATGAACAGACAGGTTATCATCAAGTAATCCATGCCCTGTCACCCAGTCCCAGAAAATGTAATGTGTTTGGGGCCAACAATGATCATACCAGGACATAACTTTGAGGTGAGGCAGAGGGGCATAATCGTGGATGAATGGACCTGAGTCATATAAAGGGATGAACAAGTTTCACAACCCGGAGCTCATCACAGCAAAGGCATGATTCACCTGTCAACCTAAGATGGTGATGGTGGGATATGAAAGCACACAAGATTTGAAGCTAGAAGTGTGCTCAGCTATGAACTGTTTCAAAAACCACTTCCTTCCTGGTCACTTTTCATATAAGAGGAGGTCAAGTTCCTCCAGTGTGAGAGTGGCTTTAAGGAATCGCTACATAAAACACAGCTTTTTAGCAGGGAGAGCAGCGGCCTGTGTAAGATTTAAGGCTTCCCATCATTCCAGGCAGCTCTCCCATCCATCCAGGGTGCCCTCAGAGCATAGGCTGTCAATCACAAGTGTGCTTTTATTATTAAAGTTATGCTGGCTAAAGGTGATACAGTAGAACGGGGTGGCCATCCTGTGACTCCGGAGCCACATGCGGCTCTTCAGAAGTTAATATGCGGCTCCTTGTGTAGGCACTGACTCCAGGGCTGGAGCTACAGGCGCCAACTTTCCAATGTGCTGGGGGGTGCTCATTGCTCAACCCCTGGCTCTATACAGGCCCTGCCCCCACTCCACCCCTTCGTGCCCCCTCCCCTGAGCCTGCATTGCCCTCGCTCCTCCCCCTCTTCCCACCCCCAGAGACTCCTGCATGGCACGAAACAGCTGATTGGGAGGGAGGGGGAGGCACTGATCGGGGGACTACCTGTAGGTGGGAGGCACTGGGAGCAGGGCGGGGGAGCTGATGGGGGGCTACTGACGTTTTACTGTGGCTCTTTGGCAATGTACATTGGTAAATTCTGGCTCCCTCTCAGGCTCAGGTTGGCCACCCCTGCAGTCGAACCTCAGAGTTGGGAACACTCCAGGACTGGAGGTTGTTTGTAACTCCGAACAAAACGTTATGGTTGTTCTTTCCAAAGTTTACAATTGAACATTGACTTAATACAGCTTTGAAACTTTACTATGCAGAAGAAGAATGCTGTCCGTCCATCTCTCCCTTCCCCCCCCCCCCTTTTTTTTTTTTTTTAAAGTAGTTTAACACCGTACTGGACTGTTTGCATTTTTTGTTATTTTGTCACTGCTGCTACCTGATTCCATACTTTTTCCAAATGAGGCGTCTGTTCGTAACTCTCTTGTTTGTAACTTTGAGATTTCACCTAGAAGCTTTGACTTCTCTTTTTTTCCAGTGTAGCTTCCCAAAAGGAAGGAAAAAGGGTTTCTAAGAAAACAGGAACTAAGACTGTTCAGGGGTGGAACAGCTGATTTATATATACACCTCTACCCCGATATAACGCTGTCCCCGGGAGCCAAAAAATCTTACCGTGTTATAGGTGAAACCGCATTATATCGAATTTGCTTTGATTCGCCCGAGTGCGCAAGCCCCCCCCCCTTAACCCCCCGCCCCCCCCGGAGCACTGCTTTACTGCGTTATATCCGAATTCGTGTTATATTGGAGTAGAGTTGTATGTATATCTGGCTTGCGCTGTGGTTGCATTTGGGATTCTCACCACTTGAGTAGCAGGTCAGTCTTCCCCAGAGTAGATTAACCCGATGTGCAGCAGAAAGTCTCTTCTGGAAACTTTGGGGACTATACTCCCTTGGAAACTACATGTTCTGTGGGCTGGATGAGAATCTCTTAACACAATTTTAAAGTTTTAAAAAAAACTTACCAAAGGTTTCTTAAATTAAAAATTAATGGAGATATCCCATCTCCTAGAACTGGAAGGGACCTTGAAAGGTCATCGAGTCCAGCCCCCTGCCTTCACTAGCAGGACCAAGTACTGATTTTGCCCCAGAT